GCAGAGGCCAAAATCTGCTGTCATACGGATGTTTTTATCACAAAGCTCATAAACCATGTCCCTGGCAGTGAGGGCTGGGGCTCATGAACTTGCAGTTCAAAACCCCTGGAAGACATTGAGTTGATTAATCCAATATTAGCTTATTCTTTGTCGGGTTTTTTTATACCTACCTCCTCAGAATACAGAAATGCCTATGATCCGGCATTTAAGAAACACTATCAGATTAGTCTCTTCAAGAGTACAGATAATAGTTATATATTTATTTACAGTGACTTTGATATACCATGAACAACTTCCCTCAGTGGCAACATTACAGTCATCCCACCAACTTCCACATCAGTTTGCTTCTAAAATCTTGAATGTACCTTCTTTAGCAAATAGCAAAATGTATGGGTAATGGGAAGTAAGAATCATGGAATACTGATGATTTTGAGATCACTCCAGTTGGCCTAAACCAATATCCTAAAGCAGAGAGACATCAATAGACAGAAGTAACACAAAGCTTATTTACAAAAAAAGAGAGAGGACTGCTGCAGCAAAAATACAAACAAATCCTTCTTCCTCGAGGCATAACCCCGCAAAGCTCAGGAAATTAACACAACATAAAAGATTATCCAAGCAGACACACATACACCCATTACCACACCTCCATTTCTTTCAGTACAGGATGGTCTTCTATTCCTGGAAAGAGGACTCTCATGGCATAGGTGCAATAATCCAAAAAGGGGATGCCAGCCCCATCCAAGTCATTGGTCAGCTCATGGATATCAGTCTGCAGCTCAGCAAAAGCTGGGGAGGAAACAGCAGATTTAAAAAGATGCCCAGATACACCTCCCTATCAAGACCTCAACTGACTAATACTGCCAATTGCACTGTGCAACTAAGATATTAAAGTGGATATATAATTAAATACATTAAAGAGGTATCACAGCTTACTTAAGTATGAAAAGAGAACCTAGAAGGTTCATGTTCCTAAAACTACATTGGTAGGGATTTCTTCAATGGAAACAGTTCAATCTTCTGACAAAAAAAAAAGACAGATTTTTTTCTTTAAGGACCACTAGCATCAAGTGACAGACCTGGACTAATATTTCAGTATGAAATTGACTTTCATGTCTGTATATATAAAGAGGCACTAAGAATGAAAAAAAAAAAGACAGATTTTTTTCTTTAAGGACCACTAGACAAAGAAAAAGTGAGTCTGCCCCCTTCATTCCCATCTTTCAAATGGAACAGCCATTTGGTAATATAGTACTTGTGGAGTCCTTGGTGCTCTCTGATCTTGATTGTTTGCTTGCAGATGTTTCATTACCCAACTAGATAACATCATCAGCGTGAGTCTGAGGTTTGATACCTGTTTATATACACTAGTTTGCCCTGCCAGTTTTACCAAAACCCCACAGTCACACTGACGATGTTACCTAATTGGGTAATGAAACATCCATAAGCAAA